GGAATAATGTGCTTCTCTGTGTGAAACTATTCTCTAAAATAAATGTGTTTCATTCCTGAAGATCAAGAAGTTCAAAGCAAAACTTTGCATTCCTGCAGTGGTCGGCTTCAGATTCAGCCCTGTGGACTTTGCCTGGGGCAGGGCTGGAGAGGCAGAGGGCACTGGTGCTCTGGTTCTGACACAGGGCATACAGTGGCAAGAGGCAGCTCAGACCAGGCAGTTCTGCTGCTTCTTCCTTTGTCACCAGCGTTCATAGGGAAATACCAAACCTGCCTGTGGGTAGAGGGGGATGTGCCCCTTTGATGTGTTCATCTCATTTCCAGGAGCTGCCTTTGATTTAGGTAGGACTGTGCCCTACAGCACCAGGCTCTCCTCAGCAAAAGCCCTCTTGTATGAAAATCCCACTCTTAACATACCTGAAAATGTTAGCATGAGGAATAGGAAAATGTTGTCTCCCTTCTTACGTAAAAAAAAAAAAAAAAAAAAAAAGAGGATTTTTTCAGATGAGACATGAATCCAGGATCAAAAAAAATACTGGGTTCAAAAGTCAGAGGAGGTGGATGTGTTGTCTGGAGGTGGGATTTGCTCGGTCTCACAGTAGGTGGAGTGACTGTGTTTCTTCAATTAGCTCATGTATCTGCAATTTGGAAGAAAGATTGTTTTGAATTATTCTGGCAGTGGAATCTGATGTCATGTGGAAGCACCTTGGGGAGATGCGGTGCTCCCCTGTGCTGGGTTACTGGCAGGGCTGGTCTGCCCTCCAGCTGCAAACAGGTAATACATCTTATTACCTGAAAAAAAGGAAATTGCCAAGTAGCTATGGTTATGTTTCCCACTGTGCTCCTTTATACAAGGATTTGTTTAAAAGCAGAGACTTTTTTTCCCTGGGATTTTTATTGCAGAGATACCAGGTATGTCACATCTAGTCTTTCTTACGATTTCATGACATCTCTAGGCTCTTGCCGAATGTTGGGAATTGAAATTCTACCTTGAAATTCAAACGTGTTAAAAGAATAAACAGAGCCCGGAGCTGTAGATTGCCCGACTGCAGATTACTGCCTTTTCTGTCTCTAAAAGTTAATTGCATTGGAAATGTTGTCTTCCTTTGAGCATCAAAGCTGGTGGCATCCACAGGATTTATTTTACAATACAGACAAATTTTAAACTTGTTTCTTGGTGTTAGGAAAGGTTTTGTGGCTCTGGTCCCACCAGGCAGCTCAGCAGCACTACTACCCTCACCCCTGCATTTGTCCTGAGCGAGAAGGTGACTTTGTATCAGCGGGACTAAGCAGAGATGTGTTGAAGCAGTACAGTGTGGACTTGCTCCTGTGTCAGGTTGGACCAGAGCTGACTGTGCCATGGTAGCCCAATGCTTTGCCTGTGGTCCGTCCTCTCTGTGTAACCCAGCTATCTTTCCACACTCTGCTCTCAGTCAGGAGAACCAGGGAGTCCTTTGAGCCATGTTCTGCTCCCGCGGGTCAGTTTGTGAAGCCCTTCCCAACCGTGTGTGTGCTTGTGCCTGTTTGTCGACAGAGGGGCCAGCCCTTGTTCGGGGAGTTTAAACAAGATAACTGGAGGGAAAAGAGAGCCTGCCATCCCTCCAGATAGCAGTGTCTCAGAGAGCACTGGCAAAGTATGATTTGTCGTCTGTGAAAAATGTTTGCGTTTGACAGCTTTTCACAGGAAGCCTGTCAGAGTGATAATTTAATGAGTACAGATTGCCTGCAACACAGCTGTAAAACGTGCTTTTACAGTGCTGTAAAATAAGCAACCGAGGCCTTTGTGTGTTTGCTTTGTTTGAGAACAAGTCAACTTCTAATACAAATGAAAGGTGGTCATTTATTTTACCCAGCAAACAGTCAAGACGTAAGAGAGGAACCTGCCATTTTTCTTCTTGTGGTGGCAAGGTTAATGCTGGGTTACATTGGTGTTTGCTAATCAGCTCATTTCCGTGAAGGGGAGAATTAATATCTAATTAGATGTAGGGAGTTACTAGTCAGATTAGCATTTAACTCATAAAAAGGACTTTTGGGCTTTCTTTTCTTCATTGCAGACATCTCTGTCCGTGGTTTGCACGGAAAGATTAATGTTCCTTCCTGCGCCCAAGCCAATTTCTTGACATGGAGATAGAAATTGAGGATGCAGACTTATATTATGCTAATAGCTAGACCAGAACATACCTATATATATAATTTAATCACTGCTGCGGACCAAATTAAGAGTGCTCTGCATCGCATGGGGGAAGACACCATCCACATCCCACTGCTGGGTCCATCCCTGCTTGCTGGTGTTGGGTGGCCTCTCATCACTGGTGCCATGCTTGGCATCACTCCTCCCCACCATCCCAATCTCATCTCCACCCCAGGAGCCTCAAGATGCCAGCAGTGGCACCTACGGGCCAAGCCACTGTTGCCAGTCAGGGCATCCTGTCTGGCCTTGTTTGGGGATGCAGGCACGTGCTGGCAGGGGGGCTTTGCGGGTGGGAGGGTGGATGCTGACTCTGTGTTGCACACACACAGCGTCCTCTGCCCTCCTCTCCTTCTTTATTTGCGAAGTGGCACTTGAGAAAGGGTGTTTTTTGTCCGTGAAAATGTGGTTGGAGCTCAAGCCAGAGACGACGGCTTTGTGTGTGCCTGCTGCCTCCGTCAGCAGTGTCGTGTTGGGCCTTTAGAAGTGCCTGGTTTTGGTGGGAGGTTTTCATTTCCTTTATTTACCTTCCTTTCGGGCAAGGGAAAGCTGCTGGCTGGAAGACTGCAGGTGCACAGGTATTTGCTGCTAATTAGAATGCAGGGGTTTTTTCAGGATAATTAATGAACATACCCAGTTCTAGCCCACATGAAAAATTGCTAAGAGATGAAGAGCTCTAACGCCTGGATACAGTTTATTCAACTTCCACTTTGGAGTGTAACCAATAAAATGAGTTTGGGCAGGCAAATACATTGGTTATGGTAATATGTATGTATTACTAAAGATAACTTTCTTGGCTGAAAATGTTGCTTTGGGTTCTTTAGACTGGTGCTTGGAACTATCTAGTAGACTTGCGATCAATATAATTTCAAAATCTAATTCTTATTGAAGAGTTTACTGATGAATGTAGCAGGTCTTGTGCCTGGCACAAAAGTATTTAAATAAACAACTTATTTGGTGATACTAAAAGGTCTGAGCAAAGGAAGGAAGTGAACCTTCAAAATGATTAAGTGAATTAGAAATTAATATATACCAAGTTAATCTCTATAGTATAAACTCAAAAGAAAAAAATCTTCCTGGAGAGGAAATGCCAGTCATGGGAACGAAAGTGGAGGTTCCTGCTGATATTGGACAGAGGACGTGTTGGGTGTTTGAAAGCAATCTCCTCTTCCCTGGATCATTTCTCTTGTACTCCTAAGAGGCCGCATTATATACAGCCATGTCAGGCACTGGACCCCATGACTTTGTTCATCAGGAACTCAAGGAATGTTTCAGTTTTTCCAGAAAATGTTTTCTGTGTTAGGCTTTGTTTGTACTGGAGCACTTTGAAGACGAAAATCTGAACTTCAGCATACTTTTAATGTCTTTTAACAAGGTTTAAATTCACACTGGGCCAAAATATTCCCCTCCCCTCCTTCTAACAACTTCTGGCCCTAAACATTGCTCCTTTGAGGATTTAAAAAACCACAGAGGCATGTTTTATTAAAGAATATTTATTGAATATGAGTCACAGAAAAGCAGAGGTCAGAATCCTCAATTGCTGGTGGCATGCATAAAATAATATGCTCCCTTGCCCGCGCCGTGCGTAGCGGCAGAGAGGCTGCGCCCGCGCCCCAGGGTGCCGGTGTTCCCGTGGGGCTGGAGCAAACAGGCAGCACGGGATGCTTTGTCTCGGCAGTGCCCACCCTTGCTCTCCTTAGCTCCTTCCCAGGGCCACATAGAACAGAGTTTTGTTCCAAAATGGCCCAAGTGCTTTTGGCCTAGCGGACCCCTCCCCTGTGTTTTGTTTTAATTCATCTATGCCAAATCTCCAAGGCAAAGGTTTTTTGGCAGAGTAGTTTGTGCTTAGACCCACGTGCCAAGGCTTTGGTGGCATGGTCTTGGCAGGGCATGTTCTTTAAACTGCGTCTGACATGCCAGACATCATCAGGTGAGCCTGTTATCAGTGCTGGAGATGTAGGTGCACTGCCAAGACACTTTGGCAGCAGCCGCTCTCTGGGCCGTCCAGTGCTCTCAGAGGGTAAACCAAAGTGGGGATTTGCTTTTAGAAAGTGATAAAAATCCCGAGGGCCCCTGTCTGTCCTTTGTCATTTGAAAAATCTCTTGTTCTTCTGCCAAGTGTTTAACATTGGATTTTGAGCAAATTCTGGTATAATTATGGGGGTTTTTGCACTGCTACAAGCGTCTGAAGCCCTGTCTGCAATCAGGACCAATTAGGTAATTAGAGACAGGCCCTGCCCTGAGAGATGACAAACTTGCAGGACAGAGGAAGAACCTCTGTCCAGAGGTAGATTTTTGGATTTGTTTTTAAAATTTATTAAAATTTATTTGGTTTTGAGGCTGGTTTATGATCATTTTGGAAAAAGAATTTGTCAAGAACTGAAAAGAAAGACCCATTTGTGTAAAACATCTGTTTTTACACAAAACCACCTTTTTTCTTTCCAATACTCTTGTGCTTTGAAATTACTTCTTTTAAGATGGTTGAATTGAAACATAAGAAACTGGTGCTTTTTTTTTGTCTTTTTGCTGACTCTTGTCACGGTATTCGGATTTGCATCAAAAGAAATTTCACTTATGCAAAGTCATCCAACCTGGAGAGAGGTCGTGGAGGTTGGTTTATGAAGAGTAATCAAAAATTTTGAGATCTAGAAATTATTTGAAAATTTTTAGAGAGTCCTTTAACCTTCCATTTCATTTGGATGGTGGCCTCGTTGTGCTGAATTTTCCAGTTAAGCAACAGCAGTGGTTGTAGAAGTGTGTGAACACACAACCCAATGCCCATGTTTACCATATCTTCTCTTCCTCTTTCCTAGAGTTCTTCAAAGAGCTTCTCGAGAACGCTGAGAAGTCGCTGAACGACATGTTCGTGCGGACGTACGGCCGGTTGTACATGCAGAACTCGGAGCTGTTCAAGGACCTCTTTGTGGAGCTGAAGCGCTACTACGTGGGCGGCAACGTCAACCTGGAGGAGATGCTCAACGAGTTCTGGGCGCGCTTGCTGGAGCGCATGTTCCGGCTGGTCAACCCCCAGTACCACTTCACGGATGAGTACCTGGAGTGTGTCAGCAAGTACACGGAGCAGCTGAAGCCCTTTGGGGACGTGCCGCGGAAGCTCAAGCTGCAAGTGACGCGAGCCTTCGTGGCCGCCCGCACCTTCGCGCAGGGCCTTGCCGTCGCGAGGGACGTCGTGAGCAAAGTGTCCGCGGTGAGCTCCGTCTTGTGGTTGTTCCCGTGTCCCATGGACCCGTGATGGGTAGCATCTTTCCCTGATGTCCTGGCTAGCACCTAAAGGTGTTGGTGGTAGTTGAGTGCAAGTGGGACAAACTCCATCTGTTGTGTGGTAGAGTCACGTTCTAGGGACAGCACTGTCTAATGCTGCAGCCCAGCAGCAGGGATGTTCCCCAGGTGGATGCTTTGCTCCTGTCTAGGGAACAGTAACAGCAGGAAATTAAATACCTTCTGCAGTGGAAATAACCATGTTTGCTTGTGTAATGGCCGTATCTTCTTCTTAATATTGCCTTTAAATTACAGTGAGTCATGGACGCTACAGGCATCCATTACGGAGCAGCTGATGATTTGCTCCTCACCGTGGGCATGGGGAGAGGCAGTTCACATGAGCAAACAGCACTTCTGTGATAACAGTAAGCTGGAGTCACAGGGCAGAAGCCAGTTGTACTTGGTGCCACACACACAGAGCACAAGTTAGACCTCAAACATTTATGGTAAGGTCATTTTTTTGGGGATCAAACAGCTGCAATATGTTGGTTACTTATATATGTACCTCCTTCTTCATATAAATCACTTCAGAGTTGTTTAAGTGGGGTGACGTTTTTTTTTTGACATGAGATTTGTCTTTAATTTTAGGCAGAGTTGTATGGTATAGGGAACAATCAATAATCCCCTTAAAGTAATTATGTAAGATAACAAATATTAGTGATTTCCTTTTAACAAACTCAGCTCATTTCCTTTAGGCTGTAGAAGATTTATTGTAATAATTTAATCAGGCAGAGAGAGGTTTATTTTCTCTCTACCTGGTTACAGAGTAATAAAACACCAAGCTGAAAGAGCAGGCAGGAGTTTGAATCAGCCTAAGTGCCAGGAAAGAAAAAAAAAGAAAGAAGAGCGTTCAGACACTCTTAGAAGCAGAATGCAGTTTTGTAGGCAGCACAAGCAACATTGTTAAGTGAGATAATTATTCAAATTTCTTTGACTTACAGGGATAATATTAAAATACTCTCTCTGAGGATAGGGAAAAAAAAAGTCTGCTTCCACGTTAATTTTTCTTGAAGAGAAATGAGAAAAACAGACTGCAATAAGCCACAAGTGTGGCAGGGCAGAGAATATTAGCAAGGCAAGAATTGCTATACTAATCTATCCAAGTTCTGGGAGTTAGTTGTAAGTTAACAGTGTCAGGTTTAGGTTTTTGTATCCCCTCAACTCCCCATCTGATAGTGATGAGTCTCAAGTTAGATGTGTCTGATGTGTTAGATGTGTGCTGCTGGTTGAGGGTGGGTGTGTGGAGCTCCATGTGTGACATGTGGGTCACTCTTACAAGACCACAAAATCTTCCAGCCTCGGGGATGCCGTCCTGTGGTGGGAGGCAGGGTCTGTGCCAGATGAGGCCGAGTGTCTGTGTGCCAGGTCACTGGCCAAGCCTGCTGATCTCCTGGTTGGGGTTTTAGATTTGGTGGCCCTTGTTTGTGGCTGTGGGGCAAATCTTGTGGTCGTGGGATGGTGTTTGCACTGCTGTAGAGTGTGGATGAAATATTCGGGTGGGAGGTCTGGCCGTTAAGCCCCAGTACAGTTTTGGGAATGTGCAATCACTTGGTAGGCAGTAAATGTGCATGGGTGAGGGATCGTGTTTATGCTCCATCTGCTCAGAATTCATCAAAACGTCTCCAGACTTGACACGGAACCACAAGGGCTATGGTCCCCGCATCTGTTACGAATCAGAGTCGTGAACCCGAGGTGGCGTCGTGATTTCTCTTTCCCTTTTGAAGATCCTTGAGTGTAGAGTTGCCTTCAACCCTAGAATTAATTGCTCGAGTGTGGAAAGCTACCCACAGTCCCACGCAGCTGCAAAAATAGCTCACGTGCCGTGGACGATCACAGTTGCTGCACTTTCCACTTCACTTTCACAAGTTGCACTGGAAATTCTACAACAGACTGACTTTTCCAAGCAGTAACAAAAGTCCCTGCTGCTGAATACCTAAGGTTTAGTTGCAGCAGTAGAAGAAATAATAATCTTTTCTCTAGTGTTTTAATCTCATTCAGTGGAAATCTAACATCACGTTTCTGCAAGACACAATGGGAAATTCTAGACGTGAGTTTAAAAGCTGATGTTTTTATGCCTGCTGCTCTGTGGTTGTGTTTTGGGGCTTCCCACATTACATATAGATTAGCCTGGCTTTGCTGAGCTCTGTATAATGACTCCATTGACTTTGCTTCCTTATTATTTTTACTCAGGAGTTGTAGTGGAATGACTGCTTATACCAGGGATTAACTTGAGGGATAAATCTTCAATTCTTCTTTATGAAAAAATGTCCAAAGGAATGCAAATTAGTTTTACTTTTAATGCATTTTGTAACAAGTAAGTAAAAAATACTTAATTGAAAATCCTCAGAAGGAGAAATACAAACTAGTGCAAGACCTAGCTGCATACTTTCCCGGGATACTATCAGGAGAGCAAAGAGCACTTTACAGCGGAATGGCCTTGATGGCTTTTTAATGATCCTAGATATTTTTACATCTTCACTAGGGAGATGCATTTAGAAGGGTATTGTTCTTGTGTGAGTTTGGAAGTAAAGGAGTAAAAGAAGAGAGGATATTGAAAAACTAAGTGTGCTTGATTTCCAAGCCAGAATGCTAGAAAATAACTCTTAATTTGGCCTTGAATGGATCAGGTGTGCCACTGTGCCCAAATACACAACAGAGAGAAAGCTGTATGGTTTTGAGAGAAAGCACTGATGTTTTTCAAACTATGTCTAAACCCTACAATTTTGATGCTCGAGTCTTCATGCCCCAAATTCCCTCCTTTGGACCCAAAAAGTACAAAGTTCTCCATATCTATCCTGAACACAGATCTGAGGAGAAAACTCAGGATGCTGTTTCTGCCTGTTAGAGATGTACCCTGCCTCTGGGGTTGGCTGCGAGGGGCTGGGGGCCTCCGGCGCTTCCCTCTGTCATCTGCTGACACTGGGTGCTTTCTCCCTGACCTTCCTGCCCCTGCCTTCGGGAGACGGAAATCTGCCCATCCCCTAATCACTCACCTGCTACTTAGCCTTCAACAAACGCTGAAGTCAGCCGGGTTAAATTGCTGCCAGCAGTGACATTTCCTGCCCCATCCTGGGCTGGAAAAAAGGAGCAAATACAAGCCAGAGCCCTGAGTGACCAAAAAAGGATGAGAACGTGCAACTGGGCAGTTCTCAAGCTGCAGAGATGTTCCTGTAATTAGTTGCATGCAATTAAAACCACAGCCTGGTTGAGGGTCATGACACCTCTGAGGGCAAAGTGTGGTGGGGCTTGTAGAGTCAGCTATAGGTAAGGAGCAGAGGTCCCTGTTTGTGGGGGGGGAAGAAGTGAAATCAAGGGCTGAGCTCTGACATTTTGTAGGGTCAGGAGGAGCTGGAAGGGGAGGTCTGGCTGGAGGTCAGCAGCAGAGGCACATGAAAGATGAAGTGTGCATGAAGTCACATGGCATCAAATCACTGCATCTACATCACCATCTCTCCACAGACCTGCAGGCTGGGACTTGTGGATGTGATCTCCTGCAGTTTTAGTGGTGGTGTGAGTTTTCTGGAGCCCCGCAGGAAATTTATGCTGATGAACTGTTGTTTTGGGATTCTTTTACCACTTTTCCCTCTTGCCCTCATGTCCTGTCATTTGAGGCAGAACTGCTTGGAGCTCAAGAGGCTCCCGAACTACCTCCCCAACAAGCATTTGAGATGCATGTGCCACCAAAGCATCTGGGCTGCTGGAAAGGGTATTCCAACCTATCCTTGGGAACCCTGGGAAAGGCAGCAGCTTGAAAATTGTATGCAAGAAATGGTGTTTAGTTTGGAAGCACAGATACGAACCATGTGAAATAATTTTTCTCCTCATCTGCTGTCCTCAGGTGACATTAGCAGATGAGAGGAGACTGCTGGAGATGTTCACGGCGGGTGGAGGAGGTCAGCTTTCTTGGTCTTGGCATTTCTTCCCTAATGAAGTATAATGATAGCAGCCAAGGAGGGAATTTTCATCCAACTGTTTATGAAGAGAATTGCAGAGGGGACAGGTTATTGCCTTCCCACACTGCTTCAGAGCTGGAGTGGGAGCCTGGTAGCTTTTTAACCCCTTTTACTCTGAGCTGCCTCGTCTCAGATAAGGCATCTGTGGAGCATAAGTTAAGACTGGAACCTCTGTCAACCAGCCTGCTGACCTGTGCCCTGAACTATGGTTCCTGTCCTTTTCGGCGTGGATGCTGAATGTGGACCAGACATTGGTTTAGGAGAAGCAGTGATGAAAATAATAAAACAACGAGGCTTGTTTGTCATCACAGATAATAAGGCGCTGAGCTCTCGTTTTGGTAAAAGTCGTGCCCCTTGTAACTACCATTTGAGGATCTAAAAGTTTAGTCAGAGAGCCAAGGTCCAACCTCCCTCTGTGCAGTCTTTGTCCTTGGTTTGACTTAAGGGGAATGTGACTGTAATCCTCTTTCAGGAAGAAGTTCATGTTCCTATATGCAACGAAGCTGGGCAGCCTTCAGGCGAGAGCAAACCCTGCCAGGGAAGTGACAGAAATGGAATGTGTTGCATGCATGCATTGGGAGGGGACAGAGGGGCAGCACTTCTGCTTTGTGGGCAACCGAGAAATGGCCAGAGAAGCGAAGAAGCCCTTTTAGTATAGCAGGGGGTCCTCCAAAGGGGCAGTGCTGTCCAGGCAGTGGGTTACAAGCTGCGGGGCCAGACCGAGGGGCTGCCGTGCACAAGGACCTTGCCTTCCACGTACCAAGGGCAAACATCAATGCAGCAAACAATACCAAGCACTTCTGCACATCAAAGATGACCCTGAGAAGACCTGCCAAGAATGTGACTGCATCTGCCTCAGCTCCAGCCATCCGAGGGTCTGTGCTAGGCACAGCCTTCAAAGCATGCTGGAGCAGCAGTCATCGCAGATTTAAGGGGCTGAGAGCGCGTGGATGTGGCTGTGGGTTTGGAGCCGATG